AACTAGGGAATTAAATTTAATGCACATATCCTGCTGTTTGGTCCTGGGTGTTTTGCCCGTGAGGGTCTTCCGATGTCACACTCGCGTTTCTTTTGGCCTTGTCACACAGGGTGGCGTGTGCAAATTTTTTTTCCAAAAGATCAGTGAAAAAATAAAGGTGGTGGTGGGGGGGTAAATCTATAAAGCTGGGGTAGAGAAAAATGCAGCTCTCAGGTGCTGTGCTGCCTGAGAACAGAAAGTACATTTTAGCCTTTTGTGTGTGTGTGTGTGTGTGTGTGTGTGTCTGTGTGTGTGTGTGTGTTCCCCACTACATGGTAAAACCTGTCACATTTTACCTTGTAGGCACTTTTTTCAGTCCCCACAATATAAACCTTAATTTTAAATCTGTGAATCTAATCAAAAACTACAACAGTTAAAAGGATTACTTATGGTTAGGATTAGGGTTATGCCCATAGAAATCAATGGAGAGTCTCCACCATATCAGGAGTATATGAACTGTGTCTGTCTGTCTGTCTCTCTGTGTGCCTGTTTGTCTCTGTTGGTCTGTCTCTGTTGGTCTGTCTCCGTCTGTCTTTGTCTCTGACTCTCTGTCTCTCTCTGTCTTTGTCTCTGAGTCTTTGTCTCTGTCTGTTTGTCTCTGTCTGTCTTTGTCTCTGACTCTCTGTCTCTGTCTGTCTTTATCTCTGAGTCTTTGTGTCTGTCTGTCTCTGTCTCTCTGTCTCTGTCTTTCTCTCTGTGTGTATAAACTGCTCCACTCCCATCCCATCTACATTTGGCCCAAAAGAAAATGTTAAACATAATCACTCTCCTTGTTGCTTTATTGAACATAAATCGCCGTTGAGCTGCCGACTCTCCTCTCTCTGTTTGGGGGGGTGATACTGGCTGCCTGTGTAAACACCGCTTTCGTGTTTCAGGTGGACCTTTTGGCTATTTCATTTTTTCCCCAGTTTATTGTTCTACAAGCAGGAGTTTCCCTGCTCTGACCTCTGCTTTGCTTCTTCTCCTCGGTGTGAGTTTAAGCCTTAAGATCTCAGAGGCCCCCACCTACAAATGGCTTGAGGTCCACTGTGGTCTTTCCTGAAGAGCAGGGGTAAATACTGGGGCATGGCCACAGGGGCACTGGCCCCACCCGAAAGCTGATTGGCCCCCGGAGTGCTCTCGCCCCCTTTCACTGACCTATTCAATTGGCTGAAAATAAGCTCGACCCCTCCCTATGAATCATGGCCTGTATTATGTCCCCCACCTTAAAAAAAATCCCAGAATTGCCCCTGTGGAAGTATGAGACTTCTTTTGCTTCTGAAGGTGTGACTTGGTGTCACTTGTAGCCTAAATTCAGTGCGGGGTAGGACGTCACGGGGTCGTCATGGTTACAGGTTAATTAGGTGATCATTATTGCTTGCTGAGTGTTTACCTCTGGGCTCATTCAGTGACCTGAGTAGGTGGACAGATGATTGCCCCCCCCCCCTCCCCCGCCCAAAATGCTTGCCATCCCATCTGCGAATGCTCTGGCGTCTCCACCATGATTGGTATTAAAAGCCATTACCCCCTCTTCTGATTGGCCTGCTTAGGAGGGAAATCTTTTGCAGACGAGTGCATCTCTCCCCTCCCCCCCCCCATGTTGTGCCCCCCAGGTTCTCAGCGCTGATGAAGCTGCCCTGTCGACCTTTTTCCTTTCAATTTTATTGACCTCTGTTTATTTCAGGTTTAGCGTAGTGCTCTTCACAGCTAAAGAGAAATGTTCTCCTAAGTCTGATATAAGTGGGTGGAGCCTGTGATGGGTGGGCGGGGCAGTGCAGCAGAGTGGGGGCGGTTCTTGAGAGGAGCACTGACACAGCCTTTCAGGCTCTCTGCTGGGAAACTGAGGCTGATGTGGGCGGGGCTGTCTGGATTAAGGAGTTACTGCACTGTGGTATACAGTATTAGTTATTTTCAGCTTTTGCTTTGTTTGGCGAGGTTGTAACCAGTTCTTCCGCGGTTCTGCTGTCTCAGCAGGGGTGGGATAGTCTGCTCGTGACTCTCCAAATGACTCGGTATGCGCGGTCTGTCTGTGACTCTGTGCTCAGGCCCCTTGTGAGCTGGTGTGCGAGGGACGGAGCCCGCAGCATCTGAGCTGGGGGAGAAAATGAAAGAAGTCATTTAAGTGGAGTGCACAGCACCCCCAGCTGGGGAAGCCCCCGCCCCCCACAACAGGCTGTGGTCTGATCAGTCACTCTAACATTTGCTTTACATGTGGAGCATCAGCGGGTGTGATGAGCTTTAAATCGCTGAGGAGGAGGGCTGTGAACCTATCTAAGGGTCTGTGCGTGCCCGTGTGCGTGCCCGTGTGCGTGCCCGTGTGCGTGCCCGTGTGCGTGCCCGTGTGCGTGCCCGTGTGCGTGCCCGTGTGCGTGCCCGTGTGCGTGCCCGTGTGCGTGCCCGTGAGCGTGTGTGTGTGTGCGCCCACAGGACCATCGGATTAGGTTTAATGACCGTGGGTATCGACCTTGCCTGGCAGCTCATTCCCATTCTGCTTTGCCTTAGCACCAGCCCTGTAGGTTGTAGGCTTGGATCCCCCGAGTTAAGCTCACCTGCCGATGTCTGTGAAGCATGTCGATTATGGCCTTTTGTCACTCTGGTGGTTTTGCTGATAAATCACTTTTTTTGCTAATAATATGCCATCTCCACCCCCTCCCCATTTTTCTCTTTCTGTTAGTGCAGATTGACCCTAAAGTGGCCTTCCCTCGACGCACACAGCCCAAGGTAAGCGCCCCCCCCCCCCCAGGCCTCATTTAGGCTTTGGGAGCTCAGTGTTTGTGTGTGTGTGTTAGGTGCTGACTCTGTGACAGGCTGAATTTTGTGGTGATCACAGCGTCCCACTGTGTTTTGGTGGGGGGGGGGGGCTTCTGTCGCGGTTCTGGATGCTTAGTGATGTCTCACACGGCCACCCCTTCCTCACCAGTAGCCCCCCAAGCGTCTCTGTGCTCCTGACCTGCCCCCTCCCCACATTTGCCGCTGCCTAAACGCGGTGCGAACGCACAGTGCTGCTATTTCTGGAAGCGCGTTTGCACCTCAGTTGCGTGGGGGTTGGGTGTAGGGGGTGGGGGGGGTGCTGTGGCTTCCCGGGGCTGCGTCCGGAGCTGGCGCCGGGGGGCCGCAGGGCACCACTCATTAGCTGGAAAAAGCGTTTTCATTTGCGTGAGTATTAGGCAGCCGCCGTGGATTTCAAAGGATTCCCGAACAATAGGATTAGGCCGGATTAGCGCTGCCTGTCGCTCCCTCCCCTTTGTGGAAAATTAATTTGGAATGCCGGGGGGGTGACGTCTGCAGCGGGACCATGTCTGTGTCACGGGCGTCGGTCACCTTTCCTGCGTTTCCCACAGCGTCCCGTCCTGGATGTACCTCACGGGGGGGGGGGGGGGGCTGCTTCCAGGTCGAATGTGTCCCGACAGGATTCCAGATCAGCCAGGTCATGGTGTGCATTTAACGTGCGATGACACTCGGCGTGTTAAACGGGGGGGTATGTTTGTCATCCGCAGTCCTCACGCAGGTGCGAGCGAATGAACTGATTTTAGTTTTGCTAGCGATCATACAGATTTACACCTGAGATGTGGCGAATCAGTTTTCCTTGTGACTAAGTTAAAGGCGCCGTTTGTTGGCAGGAGCTGTGGGTGGGGCTACGTGCTGGAGCCCCACCTCTTGGGCGGAGCTTTGCTGTGGAATGCCGCACTTTGATTGGCCGGCATCACCCTCAGCAGCTCAGAACCCTGTACCCAGCTTCTGTGTCATTCACTCGCTTATGTACCTGTGGGCCTCCCTCCCTCCATCCGTCCATCCATCCATCCGTGGTCCTGTATGTGGCTCTGGAGAAGGTCGAGGTCCCTGTCTCTCCCATGACCTTGCCACGTCACAAGAGTTTGGCTCTGGGTTCACAGGCTGAGGGAAGCTGTTGCATTATAGGAAAGGCGCCTCGATGTCTCGTCTTAAGATCGAAACGGGAGATGGACTGATTTCCAGAAGGTTTCCTACAGCAGCTGGAACTCCTGTGGACATCAGCCTAAACTTGACCTTGGTACCAATGCCAGTGCATGTCCTGCTAAGCTCTGCATAGTGCTGCACTTCCGATGTTTGCTGGGTCATCTGCCCCTCAACTCGCGTTCCCTCTTTAGCTTCAGTATGGGGGTTTATTTTGCTACCTTTTGGGGCTCCGCCCTTTTCGGTCGGCTGTACCAAGAGCCCCTTCTCACTCCCTGTGGGTCCCTATGCCGCCTCTCCGATCAGAACCTCGCTCTCGGCACCGCAGCGGTCCTGGAGCTCCAAGCGTCACATGTGGCACCAGCGTCACGACAGAAATAGCAGCAGGTAAAATTAGCAACAGCCTCATAGATTGACTCACAAGTAAATTGATGTTGCGCAAGATGGGCGCCTGTGCAACAGCACGGAGGGGGGGCTTGGGGGGGGGCTAGGGCGGACCCCTCCTGACCACATCTCACACGGTCTCCTCTTTCAGCCATGCCCACGGTGGCGGCGGCAGAGGTGTGAACGCTTGTGCTTGTGGGAAGCGCGCCCCCCTGTTTGCGGTCGCCGTGGTGACCGCCGTTGTTCCAGCTACGTCGCAGTGCTGTATCCGCAGTCCTGCTGTTATGGTCCTGTTCATGGTCCCGCTTCAGGACATTCCCCTCGTCGTTATATTCGCCCCACAGACTGGGCACAGACTGGTACCTCGTGCAACCAGGCCCCGTTTGGGGGTCTCGGAGGCCAGTGAAACGCAGACCCCAGCTTTGCCTTGGGTGCAGTCAAACCGCTCGAGGTCTGCGAGCGCATTAGTGTGACCGCATCCGCTGTCCTGTGTTTGTTCTCCTTCCCCACGGTCGCTGTGCTCACCACCGTCCTTGTCCTCCTACTCAAGGCCAGTGTCAATAACTAACAATGTCGTCTGAATTCTGCTCCCTCCCTGACCTGGAAATATTTTTGTTACTCAGGGATGTGTGCACACCCCCCTCCGCCCCCCCGTAGCCTTTAACTGCCACCTCTTCTTAAGCTGATTGGCCCCTCCTTTTATTCTGATTAGCCCCACCCCATGCTGATTGGTCCCTCCCCTTATTCTGATTAGCCCCACCCCATGCTTATTGGCCCCTCCCCTCATTCTGATTAGCCCCACCCCATGCTGATTGGTCCCTCCCCTTATTTTGATTAGCCCCACCCCATGCTGATTGGTCCCTCCCCTCATTCTGATTAGCCCCACCCCATGCTCAGTTTTCCTGCAGCTCCATAAATCTGCTGCTAAATTTAGCGGTAGCTTCTCACAGAGGCAGAACTTCCACACAGAGCCACTCACAAGGGGGGGGGGCATCAGTTATGGGCGGTTTCTGTGCTCATCCTGCACCACAAGCTTTCCTCTGGGATACCTGGACTAACTCGTTGTTCCCCTGTGCTCTACCTACACTAACTAGCTGTTCACCAATGCTGTGGTCAACCTGCACTAAATAGCTGCTTTCAGGTGGTGAACCTATACTCACTAGCGGTTCACCTGTGCTTTACCAGGTTTACTAGTTGCTTTTCTGTGGTTTTCCTGCAGTAACTAACAGTCCGCCTGCACTAACTAGCTATGCACATGTATCCACCTGCACTTTTGCTAATTAGCAGTTCACCTAGGGCCTTAACCAGCTGACTCCCTGTTCTTCATCACTGGGCCGGCTGGTCCCGCATGATGCCCGTGCCCTTTCACCTTTGACCTTTCCGCGTTTAAGGCACACGTTCCTGCCGCCGAGGGAACAGCAGATCTGGGCTGCTCTGTGGCTCCCTGCTCGCCGGAGCTGCTATTTACGTCCCCCAGCCAGTCACTATGAGGAGCGGGATGGGGGGGGGGGGGGTTATGCTGTGGCAATGACAGGATGTGGAAACCTCACTGACTGCAGTGTGTCTCTGTGACAGCATATACAGTAGTTACAAATGGAAATAAATATTAGCGCTTAGTTGGTTATTACAGTAATTCTGAATGCATTCAAGGGGAACTGCTCCTCCCCAGGTGAGCGATTCATAACCCTCATTACTAGATATTTAAGGGGGAACCTTCTGAGGGACACAGGATGGTACGGTCCTATTAGGAGGCTGTGGGCTGGTCCACTTTGGGATGACAGGACGGGGGGTTAGCATAACTATGATCATCGGTGGTGCTCCTGTTGACTCTGAAACTGAAACAGGAAATGGGAGATTTATAAAAAAAAAAAAAAGTTGCTCTGCTGAGCCACCTGTGAGAGGCCTGAGACTGCGACGTGTCCTGGGGGGCCCTAGTGGGGGCCCTGGTTTTTTTCCGGGGCCCGTTTCCTGTCACTCGGCCCGGTACGGAGCACGGGGCTATCAGAAGGGAAGGAAATGGCTTTTGTGGCCCAAGCTGGTGGTGGCCCCAACGTGCGCTCGCTTCCGGGGCCATACGCCCTCAACCCCCCAACCCCCACCCCCCCCGTCTTTCCGGTATTTTCACTTTGGTGCCATTCTCCACACGCCGTTTCTGGTTTTCTGCATACGCCGAGGGTTGGGCCCCGTGCTCTGGTGAGATCTGCCAAACTGCTCCAAGCGGCCTCCCCGACCCACGAGACCACCCCCCCCTGGCACTTTCACCAAAAGTCAACAGTTAAACGCTTCATCGGTGCTCGTCCACGGCGTCAGCGGGCAATGAGACCTCCCGGCCTCACACTCATATTTGCAGAATGATTCATATTTATGTCGTCCTTACGCTGAGCAAGGACCCTGCTGGAGATGTTTGCAACCTCTGCCAAATCGCACGACCTCTGACCTGAGGGAAGGACGCACTGGATTGGCCGCGAGTCTTGGGCGGAGCTGGTCCAATGGGAGGGAGACATGGGGGAGGGCGGGGTCACCGGCAGCCGGCAGCGGTCGTGTGAAACGCGTGTGAAGGACGTCAGTTGGCCTCTTCCTGGTGTCCTGGCCATGAGTGCCTCAAGGTCGCTGTCAAGGTCAGGCCGCTGGGATTGTTTTTAGGCCCCCGTCTCAATGTCCCCGGTGCTGATAAACTGCAGCTGGTTTAGCTAACTCTGTAGAGTCAGAAAGGTGGGACTTTACCAGGATAACCAGCTGGTGTTTTGCTCTGTCTGTCCCTCTGTCTGTCTCTGTCTGTCTATATACTGGCTCTCTGTCTGTTTGATATTTACCTGGATCAAAGTGAACCCCCCCCCCCCTTGCCGTCGTGTGAGAGGCAGCAGCTGGAGGTGGGTGGGCGGGGGGGGGGGGGGGGGGGGGGGGTATCGCTGCATCTTTATTTTTGTTTTATTGATCTTCCTTCCTCCGTTATGTTTTGTGGAAATCGGCCTCCTCCCGACAGGGGGTGAGTCCCCATCCCGGGGTCGATCAGCACAATAGAAGCTAATGGAAGCCCCCACTTCAAAGGCAGCTGGGGGTGGGGGGGCTTTGCCCGTCATCGGGCGGTACTAAGAAGATTAAAGCCTCTCTGTGCTAATCAGGCTTGATTAGTTGGGTCTGGAGTGCCAGCTGTTTTTGGTGATACAGCAGGCTGGGGGGGACGTGAGCCCATGGTGTGTTTTTGGAGGGTAGATGGGGGCACGTCGAAGGCAGCGCTGCTTCCCCCTCTGTGGTGCAACCTCACTGGGTGCCGGAGAGCTACATGGGATTCAGGTTCTGCGTCCTGGGTGACCTGTCTCTCCGGGACAGGTGGACCCCAGCACCAGGAGGTGTTGGACTGCCGTTCAGGATCTGTGCATTCCCTCCCCTGAAAAGGCGTGCGA